CCAAACTCAATGCTTAAATTAATTTTTTTAAAAATGACACTTAAGGCCCGCGAACCCGTCTCGTCCCATCCCGTTTGTTAGCGGGACGGGATGGGCCTACCGTCCGTCCCGTCCCGTTCCGTCCCATCCCGTTTGTTAGCGGGACGGGATGGCCCTACCGTTTCGTCCCGTTTGTCCCGTCCCGTCCCGCCACCGTCCCGGCTAAATGTCGTCCCGTCCCGTTAGACAACCATACACTCAACTAACATAAATGACATATCGATGTCATCCGTTAAAATGTCGATATTTTCATGACACTAACGTTAGACTTTTGGCCTATTGATGCCATTGTCCACTAACGGTTCCAATATTTTAATTTTAAATTATAAGAATTGTTTTTTTGACCTCACTTTTGCCACGTATATTTATAGTATATTAGTGAATCTCCTTAACTTGACCCTACATGTCTTTAACCCTGGTTATGTATTATTAACCAAGCCCAACCCGCTAAAATCCAACCACATAACCCAACCCCTAATTCATTCACTTTAGTCATCTCTTTCTTCGAACAAACCCCTTTCTCAAAATCCCTCTTTAGTTTTATTAGGATTTCGGATTGAAAGCAGGCTATTGTCAACAGTGGTTTCAAAATTCGATTTTGTGGGAAGATTGATGTAAATTATCAAGGTTAGTAGCATATTTAAATATGGAAAAAGTTATTTAATTTGGTGGGTGGGGTTTAATATGGTGGGTGTAGATTTTGTTCATGTGTGGATTATTGCGCATGTGGGGTTACTTATTTTTGTCTGTATAAATGAAGTGTAAATCATTGTTTATTCTTTGAAGTTCCATCCTTTTATGTTTTTATTTTTTTTCTATTGCGGTCCCCAAAATAATTGTATTTCTAGGGTTTTATTATCCTTGTATTTTTTAATAGTCGATAGATAATGCTAATGTGGTCGCTCAATTTTCTGTTTTCTTTTCCTTTTGCATGTGAACTTTGTTGAAGCATGACTGATGACTGATGGGTGAATGGCTAATTTCTCCAGAGTTATTGTATAGTAAGAAGTTGGTCCATATGTGGAATAGGTTTGGCCTGGATTTGTTGTCTTATAAAGATTTATGTGAAGAGTCCACAAAAGAGTTAGGGTTTACTAATGTGAAACGGCTTTTAGTTGTTGGGCCCTCGGGTAGGTTCTATATAATTGATGGAGATGATGGTATCAGGGCGGGCTTTACAGTGCGTTATATGTTTGGAGTTCAAAATTGTAAACTTGTTTGTTGTAGATGAGTTAGATTTGACTGTCCATACTCAAAATATTCCGCATCATACTGAAACATATCATGTAGATGTTAAAGCAGTATCTGAAAATGAACATGTTATTGGGGATTATGATTTTGATGTTGATGCTACATCTAATGTTGATTATGATTCTGAAGGACTTGAGGTTATTAGCAAACAAAGGATGAGGGTAGTTGTTTGACCAAAAAGTATAACTTTCGGCTGAAACTATTATATTTACGTAATAACGGGTTAAACCTAGTTAATGATAATATCTCTAGATGCGAATCTTGAAAACGGGTGTGAGGTGGGATAGATCCAATAAGGGGTTGACAATAACAAGCATTAAATAGTCATAAAGTATAAGCAATAATGGAATGAAGAGTGGCTGATAATAAATAGCAATAAATGGAATTTGAGTAAATAGGAGGAGTGATTCACCCAATAAATAATGAGCTAGGTGATTATTCCTTCTCACAATGATGAGTGATAGACAGATCTTAGAACATTCAAAATCTTCTCGGATCTGATGGAAAAGTGTAGGATAATATGAATAAGAATCTTGATAAAAGAGTGTTCTTTGTATCTTTTCAAGAGGAAGGGAATCGTTTTGCAAGGTCTGCTCTTATCATAATGAATATCACATGCCTCTATTTATTAACCTTTTCTATTTATATGAGACATACTCCCAGTAAACCCTAGCAGTACAAGTGCAGAGAATATTCAATGGAATATTCTGTTTAATTCCCTATTCTAATAAATTAGTCGTTACAACTCTTTCTGCGGTGCTTGACATCGGCCATCATTTGCATATCGACCACGAGCCTCAATATCTCCTGGTCGACCTCGGATGACTCTTTTCTCGATGTTATTTTGCCCTAAGTACTGAGACAGATTTCGACTTATACAGTAGTAAGTGATAGGTTGGAGAATTTTAAGGAGTTGGATAAGGGTATGACATTTAAGGATATTGTGGAAGCTAAAAGGGTAATGAACTATTATGCAATTGCTAATGGGTATGGCTTGAAGATTGAAAAAAACAAATCCTATTAGGGCTAGATATATTTGTGATGTTGGATGCCCTTTTAGATGTTCTATCTCAAGGTATAAAAAGACTAATGAGTTTAGTATCAAAAACTTGAAAGCAATCCATAATTGTGATCCTTGTTATAAAAACCCAAGGACTGATGCTAAGACATTAGCACAATACTTTAATAATAAACTACAAAACAATCCCAAGTACACTATTAGGGATATGAGATAGAAATTAGAGACTGATTTTAAACTGGTAGTGACAAAATTTAAGATTAAAAGGGCTAAGGTGATGGCCCTTGAGAAGTTAGATGGGAGTTTCAAGGATGAATATAACAAGCTTGACGCTTATGGTCAAGAACTAAGAAAGTCTAATTCTGGGAGTGATGTTGCAATCAACATATCAAAGGATAATTTGGAAGAAGGAAAAAGAAGGTTCTTGAGATTGTACATATATTTCCAAGCTTTGAAGCTATGCTTCAAAAGTGGATTAAGACCACTTATTGGTTTGAATGGTACTTTCTTGAAAGGAAAATACAAGGGTCAGCTATTGGTGGCCATGGGACAGGATTCTATGAATCAGTTCTATCCACTTGCATGGGCAGTGATTGACAAGGAAACAAGCAGGACATGAAGTTGGTTTGTTGAGCTTTTGAAAAGGTTTTGGACCTAAATAATGGGGCTGGAGTGACGTTTATACTAGACATGAAAAAGGTACCAATTTTCACTTCTGAAATTCCAATTCTGTTTTTTCTATTTTTAGTTGTTATAATTCTTTTTTTTGTCAATGCCTTATGACTTCTTTAGCTTTTGGTTGTTCTAATTCTATTTTTTTTTTTGTCAACGTCACATGGATTATTGAATGTTGTAAGCACTGTACTTCCTTATGCTCATCACATGTATTGTGCTAGACACATTGAAGCCAACTGGTTAAAAAAAATGGAGGAGTGGAAAAATGAGGAAGTTGGTGTGGTGGCGTGCTTGGAGTACTTATGAAGAAGAGTTTAAAGATCAATTGTTGAAGCCTGGGGGATGTCAATGGATGCTGCAAGGGGCCTGATCAACTATCTACCAAAAGCATGATATAGAGCCTACTTTGATACACAGTGTAAAAATCTAATGGTGGACAACAACTTTACTGAGTCCTTTAATGCATGGATTCTGGATGCTAGACATATGCCAATTATCAAGATATTGGAGGCAATAAGGATCAAGGTCATGAAAAGGCTTGCTGATTATGAAGGCAAAGCTATGTGCTGGAATGCAAATTTCAGTCCACCATGTATGAAATTATACAGTGACTATAGGGCAATATCACATGCTTGCACTTTGAACTTTAATGGAGACTATGGCTTTGAAATCACAGAAGGTAAAGACAAATATACTGTGAATCTTGAGAAGAAGAGATGTACCTACAGGTTGTGGGATTTATCTGGGATACCTTGTCCCCATGCTATTAAGGCATTAATGTATGAGGAGATTGAACCAGTGACACAAATACACTGGTGGTATAGTAATGAGGCTTATTTGCTGACATACAAGTACAATTCAGCCTATTAAAGGGGTGCAATTCTGGAAAGTTCTGCCTAGTCAAGCCATAGAGCCACGTGAAATTGTCAAGATGGTTGGAAGACCCAAAGTAAAGAGGAATAGGGTTGCGGATGAAGCTTTGAAGAGGAAAGGTGAATGGGGCAGTTCAAGGAAGAGGATTATAATGACATGCAGTAAGTGTGCATATGAAAATCATAATGCAAAAGAATGTTACAAGGTAAAGATTTATATAGTACTATTTCTTGTTATTTATGAAGCATGTACTGACTATTGTCTTTGGTTGGCAGAGTAATAGTGTTAGGCTGTGTTCAAAGAAGAGGAAAGACTTGGACAATACCCCCACATTGACATCTTCAGAAGATGAAACACGAGAGCTTGGACAGAGCTGAATGTTTAGTGAAGCATTCTTTGAAACTGAAGTGGGAACACAACGGTCAGTCTTTAACACTCAAGCTCGAACACAAGAGTACAACATTTATGGACCTGGTATTGGAGATGATGAAGACCTAACAATTAGGCTGATGGTTATATTTAAGACTGTCACAAGACTAACCATGAGAAAGGTACACATGAATCTAACTGGTATAAGAATGATTCAATTTACTTGAGATGAAACAGGTGCAACAACACCAACGAACCTGCTTTATTCACCAACAAAGGCTACTTGAAATGGAAAACCAGCAATTACATCAAGCCAGCTTCAAGCATAAGTTAGAAAAAGAAGTACAATATGAAGGCAATAAAGGGCCAGGGAGAACCAGCAAATGATTGAAACAAGCATTTTAAGCTACTGTTTGTTTTTTGTGGATTAAGTTTTTGTAATGTTCAATTATACAGCTAGACTGTTGAAGCATGGTGGTATTTAAAGGTTAAACTGGTTGACTATTTGGCTTTTTGTTGTTACATTTAGTTTAACCTTGAAATATCAATTAGATTTTAGTATTATGTATTTTGAAGACAGTTGATGTTAGACATCTTATTTAAATGTCAGCTTTGATCAGTTTAGTTTAGCTTCTATTTTAGTCAGATTATTTTTTAAGTCAAGATCAATGTAGATGTATTCATATTGGACTGTTATATGTTCAAAATGATGTTCTTAATACTGGTGTTATATTGAGGCTTCGAAGTCAGTTACTGGAGATGGCCAAGTTCAAAATGAGCATGTCCTGAAGAGGACTGTCCTAGAACTAACAAAGCAATGATCATAACAAACAAAAGACCAAACTATAGAATTCTAATAACATGGAGTATTACCAAGACAACGAAACTAAAAATTGAAGCCATTCATGAGGAGAAAATTCTTCTTTTATTACATGAAGTCAAACTTACATAGCACAAAAATATACCTAACATAACAAAAGACCAGACTATAGAATTCTAAGTAAGGGTGTCATAATACCGGCCGAACCGAAAAAATCGGCCGAACCGTGAATTTTAATTTTTCGGCTCGGTTTAATCGGTTTCGGTCGGTGCACGATTTTTAAATTATTAATTTTTTATTTTTCGGTGCGGTTTACGGTTTTGGTATTTCGATTTTCGATTTAACTGAAAAACCGAAATTTTGGGTATTAGTTATTACCCATTTTAGGCTGAAGCCCAATACCTATTTGAACTTTGAAGCCCAATTTAGTTTACCCAAACTCAAACTTACTGATAGTCTGTCTAATACCCAAACTCATCGGTTACACTGACTAAATCACTAATACACATTACACTTAGTTACTTCCCAATTCCCATTTCCCAAACCTAAATAAAGAATTAGATTTAGGGTTCCCAAACCTACATCAATTGAAAAGTTTGCCTCTTTGGTTCTTCCTTCTTCCTGTGCGACTGTTGCGAGCCTGCGACTGCTGTGACTCGTCGTCGCCGAGACACCAACTGCTGCGACTGCGACTCGTCGTCGCCGACTGCTGCGACTTCTTCTGAGTTCCTATGAGTTCTGCGCCTTCTTCCTCAGCTCGACTGTGACGCCTTCTTCCTCAGCTCGTCGCTTATCCTTCATCCTCGGGTTAGTGCGGGTTCTTCTGAGTTCTGAGTTGAGTTGGGTACCGTCAAACACAAACCACTTCTGAGTTTTGTATTTTAGTTCTTTTTTTCCTTGGAATAATTTTGAACAAAATCAAGTTTAAGTTTAAGTTTATGAAGAAAGAAAATGTCTTAGTCTTTTGTGTATGTTGATTTTCAATTAGTCTCACTGTTAGTCTTTTCTGTATGAAAGAAAGAAAATGTCTCACTGTCTTAGTCTTTCACTTCAGTATATTTCAAAATCAGGTCTAACCCTAAAGGATATGAACAACTTTACTTTAGTATTAAGCACCATAATTTCTCTCAAAATTTCAAAAAGAAATCAAGTACACCAATAAAATAATAAGCTGCTCGGAAGTTTCTGCCAAAGGAGGTTTCTAGGTAGATGGCCAACCTAAAAAGCAAAGGATTTGCTTTACATACCACTACAATAAATAAGTACTGTAAATAAACTCTAAAGTTAAAAGAGAAAGGTAAAGATTAAACAACATGTTTCCACTTCTCTATAGTCTATTCTCGATTTCATTTATAGTGTAGTTTCAAATTAGAGTGTTATTATCAGTAAAACTCGTATTAGACTGTCGTCTGCCACTATCTTTCTCTGTTGCTGGGATGGACGAACATCAACTAAATGACAATTTGTTGGGCTGTCTTTCTCAAAAGTCAATATGACAATTTACTGTTGGGCTGGACGAAAAGCAAATAAATTCCAGCCTTGTTTATTGATGTTCCTACAAACCGTAAATACTTGTTGTTCCTATAACAGTTCGAAAAAATAAACCGGAAATAACCGAACCAAACTTTGAAAAAACCGCACCGAACCGTAAATAGTTTGGTTTGATTTGGTTATTAATATTACAAAATCGAAAACCGATAAATCGAACCGTACTTTCATAATAATCGACCGAACCGACTGACGCCCACCCCTAATTCTAAGCAACAAACTATGTCCCATATGATCATTTCATAACTCATGCTGCCATGAACACAATAAGGCAAGCAAACAACAAAATCAACTGCCAGAATACTTTTTCCCGCAACTCCACAATCTTCGAGGTATCCTCAACAGCAGACGCTTCAAGTGCATCCAATCTTTCCCTCAACTCTGGTATCGTTTCAGCATCAATAACATCAGGGGCTTCAAAATCGGCTATCTTCTTCATCAACCTATTTCTTCAATTTTAAAAGCTTCTAATTTTCTCCTTTGACTGCTAATGACGATTACAGCTCTTGTGGGAAATTCAACATCGTCCCATTCCCAATAAGCACAACCTTGTTTTTGCCAAACAATTGCACAATAAAATCACCGATTATGTCCCAATAAAATATTACACCATAAAAAAATAGAATGCTTAATGTTAATTATACTTACTTAGGGAAATTGACACTTGTAAAAACGTCTCCCAACATTCATAGGAGTCGCCGTAAAATGATACGCTACAAATCCACAACGACACTTCCTCTTTGACTTTGAGTCAATTGAGCCGCTCGACCACGCAGACATTTTGAAGAGTTAACACGAAAAATGCACTATGAAGATGAATCGTAATTGAACAATAGACCTAAACCATATTAAGAATTTCAGGATGATAATGGAGAAATTGGATTTTAGATTTTGTAGAGGTTTGTTAATTTTTTTTTTTTGGGGGTTGTGGGGGTGTTCATCGAGCTAGGGTTTAGTTTTGGGTTATGTGGTTGGATTTTATCGGGTTGGGCTTGGTTAATGATACATAACCAGGGTTAAAGACATGTAGGGTTAAGTCAATGGGATCTAGTAATATCAATACATGTGGCAAATGTGGGATCAAAAAAATAATTCTTATAATTTAAAATCAAAATCTTGGAACCGTTAGTGGACAATGGCATCAACAGGACAAAAGTCTAACGTTAGTGGCATGGAAATATAGACCTTTTAACGGATGGCATTGATAGGCCATTTCTGTTAGTTGAGTGGCATTTTTAGGCCTTTTCCATATTATGTTTGATTTGTGGTATTAGTCAATCCCAGTATGAAATTATATCACAAACTGAGATTAAATTATCCCATCCGAGATTAGTTATCCTGAGATAAAGTTACGAAATGATCACCTTATCCTTCTTCCTTTTTAACTGCAACTTTTTAATTTTTTTACCAGGTTTAAAATAGGAAACAAAATGTTATCCAAGCTTATCCACCTTCAAACCAAAACACACTTTCAATTGTATATGGTATATCCCATTTTTAATCCAATGAACCAAACAAAATAATAGCATTATATAATTCAAAGGATTATTAATCCTAGGATTACAATCCCAAGATAACCTTATTCGCGAACTAAACGATCTCGTAGGAGTCGTCTGGTAGGTGTATAAGAATGATACTGAATATGGTATATTAGTAATGTTGAAAGTACTTATGATAGGATTAATTTTTACCGACTGTTTGGTTTGATATATTAAAAGGGCAGTTTTGTCTTTATACATGCTTATCCATGTATGAATAGGGTGTACAAATAATACAAACATTAGTTATGCATAAGTTGAAAAACACTACAAAACAAGGGATTAATAATACCAAAGCTAATACATATATTATTTTCCTTAATACGTCCTACCAAACGACCACTTAATTTTGAAATGTGTAGTTTTAACTCGGGTGGAAGTTTAAAAAAAAGTAGGACTTTTAAAATTTATGATCTTAAAAGCTTAAATAGTAAGAGCTTTTGTGGTACTTTCAATTTGTATGGCCATAAAAATTTCTCATTAAACGTACAATTGGTAAAAAATTATTTTTAAATATATAAACGTACTATTATTTTTTTAAAATGGAGGGAATAGTTGTTAGTAACCAACGGGATAAGTAAATAAGATTAAGGGGTTACAATAAGAATTTTTTTTGATTTTTCACATAAGGAAAAATAAATTTGAGATGAAATTCTACACTAAATACTATTAGGCATCATATCCATTTAGCTAGTGATGCTCGCATATATTATGTGGAAAGTTGTGTATTCTTGCTATTGCATTTAAAATAAATATGAAATAAAAATAAATATAAGATCAAATACATGAATAAGAAGACTTTATATGTTAAGAAACTCTCTTAATACAAAGAGCTTTATTTTTTTTAGTAATTCTCTTTGTTGTAAAATCCAAAATTTTTAAGCCAATATACATCATAAATCTTATTAGTTATAATAAATAAAAATGTAAAGCTTTTATAAAATCAAATCCAATGTCCTTGTACTTTTTAACGTTCTGGCGTGTATGTGTGGGCATAATACCGGCCGAACCGTGAATTTCGATTTTTCGGTTTCGATTTAATTGATTTTTTGGTCGGTGCACGGTTTTTAAATTATTAATTTTTAGTTTTTCGATCCGGTTTACGGTTTCGGTGTTTCGGTTTAACCAAAAAATCGAAATTTTGGGTATTAGTTATTAATCCCATTTTAGGCTGAAGCCCAATACCTATTTGAACTTTGATGGTTACACCGACTAAATCACTAATAAACATTATACTTAACTAGCGTTTGGTCATAAATTTCTAAATTTGTTTTGAAAAATCTGTTTTGGATGAAGTTTGGCTTGAAGATGAAAATGTGTTTGGACATATGTTTTCAAAATATATTTCTCAAATTTATTTTGGAAAAATATGTGTATTATTAGGGATTTGGCCCAAAAACAGCTATTGAGCTGGTTTTGAGATTTGAGATTTTATCAAAATATAGGCAAAATTTATGGTCAAATATGTGTTTGACAAATAAAACCTAAGTTTATTTTTGACAAAATATACGGCGAAACGGCTGCTTAGTCACTTCCCAATTCCCATTTCCCAAACCTAAATAAAGAATTAGATTTAGGGTTCCCAAACCTAAGTCAATTGAAAAGTTCGCCTCTTCGCCTCTTCTTTCTTCCTGTGCGACTGTTGCGAGCCTGCGACTGCTGCGACTCGTCGTCGCCGAGACGCCGACTGCGACTCGTCGTGGCCGACTGCTGCGACTTCTTC